AGCTGTATGCTGTGCCCCCAGTGGAGTTAGCTGTGTCATTCCATGATATGGCAGTGTTGTCGTAACCTTGACCTTGGACTATCAAATTTGTCTTGTTTGAACTCACCTCTACTTTTTCCCTGCACATTTTTATCATGGTACATAATTAAGGATATATGATTAATCATCAATTAGTCAATACAATAATGTTAAGGAGCCAACTGTTGGCTCCGTTACGGAGCCAACAGCCAATGGGACAGTGGGACAGTCCTACATGGAGCTGTTCCATTGGTTGTTGACTTCATAATGGAGCCAACAATTGGCTCCTTAGTATTATTGTTAGTCAATAATCCAATTCTCCAAATGCAACATTTAATCTATTAGACGGTTACGCATCTTCAATACATATGCATATTTTCAAATTGAAATGTGTCATACTTTTAAAAACAGAGTAAACAAAAATATGATATTTCACAACATAAGTATGTATTTCTATTAATTACGAAGGTATAGTGGGTCGACCAGCCTCAAAGTTAGACCTTCTAACACGAGAATTTGTGTTCAATCCCAGAGTTAAGAACAAGAAGGAGAAATTAAAATCTATTTTATTCAATTATTTATTTACTTTTTTTTGGTTAAAAAGTTATTAAATAAGCGAACAGATGACATCATCTTACACACGTGACATTCAAAGTAGTCAATTTATATTTTATGAGTGATGAATATTGTATGATATATTGGTATACATTGTATTACCTATATCTGCCCGAGTCGAGAACAATAAGTATCCAAGATTGACTGAAATCGGGCAAGGCATCAACTGCCTTTTGCAAGCTGCTAAAATTCGAGCAACCTTTCAAACCGACAGTGTAGACAACACTAACGTTGTACAAAGACACGAGTTCCGAGTCCCACTTGTTGTCGCCACACGAGCTCCTATGCCCGTCTTCCTGATAATAATTACGATGACCATGATGTTTCGTATAGACAATAATGCTCTTTAGCACGGTAAAAATGTCGTATTCGCCTACGAAATAGGTTCGAATGCCGATAAATGTACTAACAATGGTGAAATCGGCATGCTTGGATAATTTTATGGAAAGAAGCAAAATGGTTAAAGAGATCACCAAGAAAAAGGAGAAAGTTTTATTGTTCATGGTTGAAAATTTGGTGTGTTTTCTTGGGGGGATTTTGGTTTAGTGGCGTGTTTGGATGATGGTTTTTTATAGGTGGGATTATTAGGTGGGGGCATGATTATCGTAGGAGGTAAGGAAAGGATTGTGGATTTGGTCAATGAATGTCTGTGTTGATGGATGATTGCATTTTGCTATGGGTTGAGAATGGAGATTGCAAAACTCACACGCTAAGCCATGTTTGAATAGATATATAGTGTATGTTGAGGTCCATTTCATAAATAAAAAAGATGTTTGGTGTAAATAATAAACAGAGAAAATTGCAATTTTAGTCTAGTAATTTAGGTTGTTTCCCATTTTAATCCACTAACTTAAGTCGATTTAAATTTGGTCCAAAAACTCCCAAAAGTTAGTTAAATCAGTCTAATTTCGGTCCCTGTCGTCGAAATTGATTGGTCAATTTCAGTCCAATTGGACTGATTTAACTAACTTTTGAGAGTTTTTGGACCAAATGTGGATCGGCCTAAGTTAGTGGACTAAAATGAGAAACAACTTAATTTACTGGAGTAAAATTGCAATTTTCTCTAATAAATAAACGTTTTAAAAGTAACTCTTATTAAAAGTCAATTCAAAAAAAAAGTTTAATTAGACAGTGTTTGATAAAGTCACTTTTTAAAAAATTCATTTTGAAATAGATTTATCAGTAAGTGTTTCAAAACAAGCTAGTCAATAATATTTGGATTCAGTTAGATGATTAATGATGAAGGATATGCTTATTAATTGTGGGTTTTTCTAGGCTAAATTATTGTAAACTAAATCTTAACATTTGTGTTTCGATAGTAATTTAATCTCAATTTTTTATTTTTTTTTTTAATCAATAAAAGGCATAGTCTTTCAATTTTTACAAATCATCAATTTTTACTTTCAATTTTATGTATTTAGATGGAATATAAATATCTCCAATTTATATTTCTTTTATTGATGTTTTTTATAATTTATTTTATTGATGTTATTTTCAGTTATAAATATTGGGACATCAATATTTATCAAAATAAACAAAAGAATAAACAAATAAGTATTACTTAAAATCAAAGAAGTATTTAAATTATATTTAAAGGCTTAACTTATGCTTGAAAATGTAACACATTATTTCTCAACATTTTCATAATGCAAGTAATTACGTACAGTTGTTTATTCTTAGTGCGTAATGAATTTCATAATTATATACAACAGTGTTTGAAAAGCAATGAAAATGTTTTTAACAATTGCTGCTGAAGAAAAATATGAAAGAAATAAAATCATTCATGAGAGATATATATCTTTAGTCAAAATGATTAAATGAGATTATTTGCCTTCCTAATTCATTATACTCATTACACCCAATAATTTGAATTAAGGTGGCATTGTTTTATTATTTTCATATGAAAAATTAATTACAGAATTTACAATTATTGAGTTGTGCGAGGCAAGGCCAATATTAATTAACTTCATACATAGGCTTTCCCAAAATCAGTAAAAATAAAATAAAATAAAATAAAATAACCGTATTCCAAAAAAAAAAAAAAAAAAATGTTAATGGTGAAATATCAAATGAAAATTCTAACCTTCATTTTAATAGTATAGTTAATTTACGTTGGAAAATTACAACAAATTCCAATGAAGATTCCAGCAAAATTTTGCATTGGAGTTTTAGTTCGAATTTGATGATTCGAACAATCATTTTTTTCGACGATTAATTGCCGTAGGAATTACTATTGGAATATGAAAATTTTTGTTGAAAAAATATCGTTGGAACCGTCAAAATCCAACGAACATTCTAGTAAAAAACACTACAAAATAAATGTTATATTCCAACAGAAATTCCTATGGTAATATATTCCAATAGAAATTCTAACGGATATTCCAATGGAATAGCTTCCGTTGGAATAGTTCCAACAGAAATTCCAACAAAAATATTCGGTTGGAATGTATTTTTCGTTGGAATTTTAGATGGAATTTGATGATTCCAACGGCTATATTTCCAACGGTTTTTTACCGTAGGAATTTCCGTTGGAATATGCAAATTCCGTTGGAATTTTTTTTTTCACCCCCGTTGGAAAATCCACCGTTGGAATTGTCAAAATCCAACTGAAATTCCAATGGAAAACCTATTCCAACGGAATATTTTCGTTGGAATTTCTGTTGGAATCCATTGAAAAATTTCAACGGAAATAATAGTATGAAATATCCGTTGGAATTGCCGTTGGAATAATTCTTTTGAAATATATTTCCGTTGGAATTTCATCATTTTCTTGTAGTGAAAACTTATTTCAACATAGTATTTTCTTGTAATTCCATTTCAATATAATAGAGAATTTCAACGGAAAAAATAACACTAGAATATTCATCAGAATTATTAAAATATATTTTCGTCATAATTTCAACATTTTTTATAATGAACATATTATATTACACAAACCGTTCTAACCATGAGAGTTTGGACGGATTTAAATTTGCAACAAAAAAGAGGTATTTATATTACAAAATATCATACCTTTAAATAATGTATGCATATTTATTGAAAAAGTATACATGGACTTCTAATCGTTAGTTCTATCTTATAGACTAATAAGAGCCTAATTATTCTATCAATTTCACACAAAAATCTTCAGAATAATTACGAGCTTAAAAATACAAAATTATTAATTGTTCCATTTAATTAGGTTTATGTAATTTATTCTTTGGCATCAAATTTTAAAGAAGAATTTACATGCTATACCTTCGTACAATAATTATATTGCATATTTAAAACCTGTTAGTTTTTATTTGTTTAAATGCAACTTCAACACAAAATAATTACACATATACCTGATTTTTAATTTTCTAAAGTCAACATGTCAAACATGGAATGTTTTAATTAAGATCTTTTCTCATTAATTTTTCCAACAAATCTACTACCCAATCCTAAACAGAATAAGATTTTTCACAAAGACACGATCCCTCCCAAGCCACCTCTTCACTTTGACCGTGGCTGCACCATTTCACCACCGAGGCTCCGTTTCCTTGACGCCGATTATGACCGCGACGTCAATTCTGTCAGGCTTGAGGATCCATGTCGGTTGCTGAATAACACGTTTTTCTTCATTGTTGGATAATTCTCCTCATATTTTACACAATAGCAAAACAAGAAGGTACAAAGGCATATAAATGTTACACAACCAGCACATGAATTAATCATCCCCTCATATTTTATCGTTTCTCCTGTAATTGAAACTTTGCAGTTTTGTATGGTTTATATTCAGTATATTTTCATTCCCCTCATATTTTATTGTATTTGTATTGTTCCCCCTGTTATATGTATGACTTATATTTAGTATATTTTTGGTATATGTATGGTTTATATTTAGTAAAATCATGGAAAATATATACAATACATATACCATCATTACAATTTGTATTGTAAGTATATATACCGACATTATGTTTTATATATTTATTATATGTATATATATATACTTTTATGTATAAAAGAAAGAAAGAGAGGAAGATATAATTTTTTGTTGTAAGACATTTTCTTCATTGCAACATATCCTGAATATATACTAACATAAACGCAAGGGCTGTGTTTGGATAACAGCGTTTTGCACAAAAATTAGCTGTTTTAACATTTTGGCTTATCTGACTTTTTGAATCAGCTAAAAATGGTGTTTGGTTAACAGCTTTTTGGTACAACTTTTTTGCTCAAAAAGTTAAAATGCAAAACGCTGTATATAGGAGCGTTTTTTGTTGACTTTTCAATTTTTTGGTACAAATCAATGCTTGTGGACAAAATTGGCCCTCATTTTTTTTTTTTTTTTTT